TCAGAACTCTTTGGAAAAGCAATGTACTTGCCCAGAACTGCACGAAAACTCTTTAATTATTAACAGAACTATCAATATACGGCCAGCATATCACACATATACTCAAAAATGCGTGTTTTTCGGGCAAAATAATTAGTTTAAAAAATTTTCTAATTATTTAGTCGTCAGAACTCTTTGGAAAAGCAATGTACTTGCCCAGAACTACACGAAAAACTCTTTAATTATTAACAGAACTATCAATATACGGCCAGCATATCACACATATACTCAAAAAATGCGTGTTTTTCGGGTAAAATAATTGTTTAAAAAATTTTACTAATTATTTTTAGTCGTCAGAACTCTTTGGTAAAAAGCAATGTACTCGCCCAGAACTAGAAGAGAACTGTCTAATTTTTAGCAGAACTATCAATATGCGGCCAGCATATCACACATATGCTCAAAAATGCGTGTTTTTCGGGTAAAATAATTGTTAAAAAATTTTTTAATTATTTTAGTCGTCAGAACTCTTTGGAAAAGCAATGTACTGGCTCAGAACTACACGAAAACTCTTTAATTATCAACAGAACTATCAATATACGGCCAGCATATCACATATATGTTCAGTGTCCTCTATTTTTTATCAGCTAACTTTCCGTAGCAGATCATTTTTTCGATCGGAATTTTTTTTATAAAATCACCAGAACTATCATTAAAAACTATAAGGAACTATAGAACTCGACTGCATGCGACAAGAACTCTCTTTTATTTTTGATCTGCTAGAAATGATCTGTCTACGGGAAGTTAGCAGATTCATTTTTCGATTTGGTAGTTTTTTGGAATAAAAATCACCAGAACTAATTACTAAAACTATAAGGAACTAAGAACTCGACTGCATGCGACAAGAACTCTCTTTTATTTTTGATCTGCTGGAAAATGATATGCTAGGTTCACGAACATAATTAATTGTTTAAAAAATTTTCTAATTATTTTAGTCGTCAGAACTCTTTGGAAAAGCAATGTACTTGCCCAGAACTACACGAAAACTCTTTAATTATTAACAGAACTATCAATATACGGCCAGCATATCACACATATACTCAAAAATGCGTGTTTTTCGGGTAAAATAATTGTTTAAAAAATTTTCTAATTATTTTAGTCGTCAGAACTCTTTGAAAAAGCAATTTACTTGTCCAGAACTACACGAAAACTCTTTAATTATTAACAGAACTATTAATATACGGCCAGCATATCACACATATACTCAAAAATGCGTGTTTTTCGGGTAAAATAATTGTTTCAAAAATTTTCTAATTATTTTAGTCGTCAGAACTCTTTAGAAAAACAATGAACTCGCCCAGAACTAGAAGAGAACTGTCTAATTTTTAGCAGAACTATTAATATGCGGCCAGCATATCACACATATGCTCAAAAATGCGCGTTTTTCGGGTAAATTAATTGTTTAAAAAATTTTCTAATTATTTTAGTCGTCAGAACTCTTTGGAAAAGCAATGTACTTGCCCAGAACTGCACGAAAACTCTTTAATTATTAACAGAACTATCAATATACGGCCAGCATATCACACATATACTCAAAAATAGCGTGTTTTTCGGGTTAAAATAATTGTTTATAAAAATTTTCTAATTATTTTAGTCGTCAGAACTCTTTGGAAAAGCAATGTACTCGCCCAGAACTAGAAGAGAACTGTCTAATTTTTAGCAGAACTATCAATATGCGGCCAGCATATCACACATATGCTCAAAAATGCGTGTTTTTCGGGTAAAATAATTGTTTAAAAAATTTTCTAATTATTTTAGTCATCAGAACTCTTTGGAAAAGCAATGTACTTGCTCAGAACTACACGAAAACTACTTTAATTATCAACAGAACTATCAATATACGGCCAGCATATCACATATATGTTCAGTGTCCTCTATTTTTTATCTGCTAACTTTCCGTAGCAGATCATTTTTTTCGATCGGTGTTTTTTTTATAAAATTACCAGAACTATCATTAAAAACTATCAGGAACTATAGAACTCGACTGCATGCGACAAGAACTCTCTCTTATTTTTGATCTGCTAGAAAATGATCTGCTACGGGAAGTTAGCAGATCATTTATTCAATTGGTGTTTTTTTGGATAAAATCACCAGAACTATCATTAAAAACTATAAGGAACTATAGAACTCGACTGCATGCGACAAGAACTCTCTTTTATTTTTGATCTGCTGGAAAATGATATGCTAGGTTCACGAACATCTCAATAAATAAAAAAAGAAAAATATTCAGTTTGAATATGAGTTTATGGTAAATTACGATTAACTGCTCTCTAATCGATCCAAATCCGTTCAGTCGAAAACATGTGCCTTCGATAGATTGCAATCAGAATTTGAAAAAACCTATTTCGACCCGTTGCTATAGAATTTCTTTAATTATTTAATATAATTTTAAATATCCTGAATTTTAGTGATCTCTTTCGCTATTTATCTATTTTCCAAAGAAATATTTTACTTTGTAGTATAAAATTTTGCGTAAAAATAAATGTCGAATATTATATGTCTGAAAAAAGCACGTGTCTGTATGAAAATTTCACATTATCATACTTCTATCACGATCAATTATAACTCATTTTTTTTTAGATTTTTATCATTATACAACTACGATAAGAATGATACCTAATTATTAGTCACATTTTGACGCTTTCGTTGATAATATGTTTTATCTCTTTGTAATTTGATGAATAGACTCACTCGATGCGAGTTCATCGTTGTGCGATTTCTGAAAGCACAGCTCTGTCGCGTTTGATATGTACAGTTAAAGTTTGTACAATCAAAAAGGGTGTAATAGATATATACACCCATGTTGTCGCGACAGCGACTCGCAGTATGTTATATTTCACTTACAATTAGTTATGCATAATGCTGTGCACACTTGATCGAGTTCGTTAGGCGTGTCAGCAATCTATCATAAATATGTACACTTACATATGTGCGTGCCGCTCCTACCGTCGCAGGATGCAAAATCTGAAATAAAACGTAACCGTGAAACTTGGCAATGACAGATGAGGGTTAAAATACTGTTTTGAATTCTGTTTTGTTGTTTCATGATGTTATTATGTAATACTGCAAAGTGGTTCTGTAAAGATAAATTATATAGAAGGCAATACAAATCAGAAGCATAATTATTGGAGTGTAAGAAATATTAACCATCATAAATTAATATATAAAAAATACGTTTTGATCACAGTTTCAGACTTACTTATATTAAATTTTCTTAATGGAAATTTATCAAAAACAACCATCATTGCACTTAGCTGTTACAGATAATGTTATCAAATAGAATTAAAGTTCGCAGCAAGTAAGTTTCACGTAATCAACGAATAATGACGGTACAGTATCAATGACACGCGCAATAAACGGATGCTTTCGATTTTGAATTTTTCGTGATCCATTTCAGAGTTATTCACATTGTTTACAATGTACAATTACAGCTGATTTCTAATTTTCATGTAATATTAAAAAAACAAGAGTTAAATTACGTGTCCACAGTGTTAAACTCATCATTGCTTTTCCGCTCTTATTTTTATATTTGTTTATGAGATAATGCAGTTAATGATCATTTAATTTTCGTATAATTCTTCGTCAGACCGCATAAAAGTTCAGAAAGTAATGCAAATGATTACTGAAATTTGGAACAGTCGTAAACAACTATAACGATTCATTCTGAAGCCGTAATCAGTGCCGAATTTTCGACATTGAAACTTTCTACGCTCGTTGCGTCATTCCAGACGCGCCGTCGTGACGAAATAGGATAAATTAAATATTCATCTCGCTTCCATTGACATTTAAAAATTCTTCTGTCTCGTAGAGTACAATTATTAATTACGATCGAGATACAAATATCATCTACAACCTATAACTAAAACTCCACTTCATCACGAACAAAGTTTATGAGTATCTTATTCAAGAACATATGTTTGCTCGCGTAAAGAAATTAATAAAGATAATAATTGTTTAATAGCCAAGTAATCTTTTAACCTTACATATTTTTTCAGCGTTGATTCATTTCTTGCTAATTAATTAAATAAATGCTAAATTGAAAGCGTAGATAAACACTTCGTGGAAAAACCTACATTATTATGTTTCTGCTAAGATTTTTGTTAAGTATTTATAAACTTATACGATCGATTAGCTCGTTAATCAAGCAGCGATCGAGAAATTTCGTGCTCGAGAAATTTGAATTTCGCGATATGATCAGTTCTGACGCTCATCGTAAGCACAGAAGCGGCAAGAAACGTCTGCGAACTTACGCACAGAAAGAAATTCTTTGCACATCTGTGCCGGGGGCGATGACGGAGTCATTGCAGCAGTCTCAATTCCTCCACACTCCGAAGCGGGCCAATCTGGCATCTCGTCGTTATCATTAACCAACGCGAACTCCCGGCATACGTCGTCCCGGTATAACGTCGCGATTGGAGCCAGAGTGTGAGTCGGATGAGACCTGGGGCTCTCCGCTCGAGTCACAACTCTTTAGTACACGCGTGTGTCTCGCGCATTCTCCTTTCCACGGCACGTAGGACTTTTTCGAGAGTCGGTGACAATGACTCCGGAAGAAGAGAGGTAATGTGTCTTGACCTTTAAGTCGATTGCGTTTTACTTTATCGAACGAGTGCAAAAACAAGCTGCAGATATTTTAAAAAGAAGGAGTGTGTACGTGTGTGCGAAAGGAAACAAAGTAGAAGAAACATGAAAAAAAAGAAAGTAAATGACAAACCTATAATCACGTAGAACGTGTTCTGCAAGCGCTTCCCGCGCTGACTTAAGCGCGCAGGCGCTTATAAAGCATGCCTTCACGCGGCGTGTGTTAACACGTGCGAATTCTTGCCAGAAAGAACAGAGAGTCACCGGTAAACCGCGATAAATCACACTCACAAAAAATTTACGATATCCAAGTGCTATTACGTATTCTGTTTTTAAATATGTGATATAACTACTCGCCGCGACCAGTTGACACGTGTGAATGTTTTCGACATTTACTTATTAATTGTTGCGATAATCTCAGCTAAAAAAATCAATATTGTCATTGAAAAATTCGTCAATCAATGACGTAAAATATCTAAAAATAAATACCATTTTTAATGCATATTTCTATATTTATAGATATGGTTTTTAAAGCAAAAACATATTTTGAAGTATCTAATATAGAGTATTTTTGACGTATAATCTTATGTTCCTGATTGCAAAAATTAGGTAATCATCATGTGTTTACGAAATATCACGTTCTATTGCTCAAATGAAATAATCCTTTTGACTTTTATTATCAAAAAGTTAAGTTTTTTATGCAAGAAATTTCAAATCTTCTTCATTCTTGATCTCGCGAAAAAAATGTTCCTTAACGAGAAGATAAATAAAAGATATAGATAGAGCAAACAGTGTTCCATTTATGTTATGATAAATGGCTTTAGAATATCCAAGCATTAAGTGGGCAATGTACTAAGAATGGAATAAGTTAATATTGCAAAGAGAAATGTCGTGGGATATAAATGCATAAATCTAGTAACAATGTTTATCGATGTACTTATTAATTAATGAAGTATAATGTATTCATGCGACTCATCTACATGTCTTGTTGCGAAAACGTAATGTGCTCTCTATCTATTATTGGATTCGAACTATTTTTATACCAGTGCATGGCGATACAATGGCACGAAAATCGAAGCAGAATTCACTTCGAAATCGCTTCAAAATTTGTTTTCTTCTATTTTTCTCAAAAAATTCTTTTGGAAATAATTTTTTATACAATTTTATATCTTTTAGCGTGAAATATAGTCACCTTTGTCCAATTTTTAACTGTTACATTCTATTCTTCTGCTCTTTTACAAATAACACTCGTTAGAAACTACTTTTCATCTTTTTTAATCTTGCATATGGAACTACTCACATAAATCGCGGATAATCATAAAAGTTGTAGATGATCATAAAAAGATAATTCCGACCGCAGGTTTTTTTCGTACGAGCAATATGTGTAAAGGTTTCATAAATTAGGAATGCATCCTCGCGCGCAGGTGTCTTTTAAAACCATTAAATTGGAACATTCAATTGGAATATCGTAATGCGATTGTTGCTAAAGAATTAAAATATCGAATTGAAGAATCTATAATTCGCATATGCGAGAAAACTTTCGATGATTTGTTATCACTAAACAAAGATCAAAAGGGAGGCGCCGGAACGCATATGCGAGTTAGTTTATTGGCCTGTTCGCAGCTATTTCTGAAAGCGCTTTTACGTCCAGTCTTTCGACGATGTTATCACGAAGCGTAAATCTTGTTAGTAAATAAATGCAGAGCGAAAGTCGTCAGATTACATTCCCTCGAACTTATGACCCAAACACGTGGCTTAATTTCCTCGCTTGTCATCAGTGACGAGACGCACGCGAAAAACATATGTCAAATATGCTCAGCATAACAATGAGCCATCGTTATGAAATGTTCATCTTGAGAAAAGTGAGACTGAACTTTTGTTTTTGTGAATTTCAATAATTTTCTGCGCATCAGTGCTGACTAAGTGCGTTAACTAAATTGTGTATGCAGATAGCAGCGTTATCGTCACAAATATGTATATCTTTTATTTCACTTTGCTTTTTTATTCCGCTACGTCCCACTTCACCTCTTACATCTTATTTATGACATAGTGAATTAATAAAATTTCAATCTATGAATTCGATGTAAGGAATTTCTCGGTGCTTCCTTGCTGATGAAATTTAAAAAACAATGTGCACGTACAAAAAAAAAATAAAAATAATACAACTTTCAATCCATTATTGTCAAAATTAATATAAAAAGTATGATTAAAATCTATTTTTCTCTTGTAAGTAAAATTATTGTATGTCTCAATATACAACTGATTTTATATTTACAAGTGAAGTACGTATTGATGGAATTGAAAATATTGTTACAAAACATTACAATTTTGCAATAAAAAGACCTTCTTATAAGAGAGGTCGATATATTGTACAATCGTAGATAAACTAATAACACAGTATCAGTCTTGAGTAGTCAAGTTTTTGTAAAATAATTGCAAAATTTCAAAAAAACGTCAGATTGTCGCGATAATTATATTATTGCGAATAAGCAACGACAGCTCCGATTCGCGCAAACATCAATGTTTATCGACATTCGACGGAGTGGAAATCAGGCCTTTGTGATCTTTATATTGCGTCGATTCATGCAGCAATTAAAGATGTAAAGGTGCGAGATAACAATGCATCAGCTCGAAAAGAGGCCGGACTGTAAGCAACAAAAATACGTTTTATCGTTTCAAAGTTGTTTATGAGCAATCCAAGTTCTAGTACTTGTTAGACATATTTTCAGCATGTAATGTAGCATCCACTGTTATTTTAAATATCAAATATATATGAAATAATATTATTAATTAATTACATGCAATAATATTATTAATAATCAATAATATTATTGGATAAGCAAATAGAAGAGGCCGAGTATGAATGTATTATTCGTAATGCAAAAATATACAATATTGTAAGTATATAGATTATAGCGGCTGACAATTTCGCAGAATTCACGCGTGTCGACTTCCGTGGTAATTATTATCCTTTGGTTGTCGATAAAAATCTTGCTCGTAGAATATGCTTGCATTCTTCCATTTTTAATAAACTATCGAGCACAATACCGCGTTGTTAGTCGAGCGTTAAAATTATATGAATTAATAAGACATGCTTTGCGTGTCTTGGAAACACATTGCACCGCCTTTATTCTACGAAGATGTAACAAGCGCCATTAACTTGGTCACGCCGAGATTACAATTATCGCTTTGGCTAAGTGTCTAATCTTCTTATTATATCTTCGCCCCTTTGAAGTAGCAATAATTTATTGCCGATTGACGAGTTGTGTAAAACTGCATTTTATCTGGTAAAAAGTAAAGGAATGGACATATCTGTTTGCGCGATAGATACTTGAGCATAATTTATCAATGAGTTAGCAGAACTGCACTGTCCATTGCACTGTCCATTGCACGTCAACAAAATTGCAATTGTCAATAATGATTTATGCATTTTAACAAATTGATAACCAACAATCTTTCTAGAACAAGAACTTTTTAATTATTACGAGCTATTATTATACCGGACCATTTAAATTTACGATTACCTCGTTTCATCATTCTTTTTCTGTCCCCATTTCGAGATTGTTTGTTACTATTGACGTTAATCTATACGTCATAATACGAAGCAGAACAATGATATCTTTTGCGCATATGTAAATGCTATTGTCGCGCGCACATGTGCCTCGATTCACCAATGTCAATCTTTACAGAATTTGTATCAGGCAATAAGGAAAAAAATGTGATAGAGTGTGCGTAGATAAAGTGTGCGATAGCCTTCGAGGTTAGCCGATGATTAACTCAATCGATTGAGAACAGTCTTTTGTAACGTTAATTATCTATATATGTACTAAGTATAATGTAGGTATTACAATAGTAATCTGTATCTTATCAAAAATTAAAAATAAGCGAATTCTGTTAGTGATTACATCTGAAATAGCACAGCATATGTGAATAAACACATCATTATCTAAATTCTGTCGTCGAATAATAATTTTGTAATTATCAACCATATGTGCTTACGAATGTGCTGATATCGTTCGATCAGAATAGCGCTTAGAAAATATTCTGTCATTTGCAGGTAAAAATTGCAAAAATTAATTGTAAAATCAATTGCAAAAATCCATTGTAAAATTAATTGTAAAAATCTCTTATAATTTTTGCAAAAAGTTTATTTTTGTATTGCAGAATGTTGCAAAAAATCAGGCGATTTCTATCAGTTTCAAATTCTCTACAACGTGAAAATTCTCTTACAAAATATTTTATTGCAGCCAAATAAAATCGACCGAGAACACAATGAAAACAAAGTTTCAATTCTGATTATCAAATTTACATTTGTTTTGCGGACCACCGCTCGGTACGAAATTTCGCATTTATCATGCGAAAGCACGTAAGAGAGTAAAGCAAACCAAGTCACGCTGAAAATAAATATGTCCGTTATCAATTAGCAAAGTTTACACAACCCTGTTTACATGATAGCTGCTAAAATTGTGCATAATATATCGTTTTGCAAATGGCATGTCGTGCGCGTGCAAAAGACGGGGTCGTAATTCTTAATCACTTTTGGATATTGTATCTCAGAAGCAGACATCATAATCACATGCATATAAAGTGCTATAAAAGTCAAAGAGAAGAAAAACAAGGGAAAACTTAACGTAATCGGCAAATATAATCAGCAATAAAACAAGTATAAGATGGATACTCCGAATTGTAAAAATTATTTGTATGCTGTATCAGATATAAATATTTCCTCGAGTCTATCTTATCATCGATTTATAAAATGGAGATATAAGATATACGATACTTGAAACGTCATTATAATGCTGCTTCGTTGTCTCTTTGCAAACGTCCATTTGGCCGGTCAGTAAGTAAAGTTTTACGGGAGATTATTTTAATCTGATTTCTTTGACCTATTTAGTATCGATATTTTTAAATTAAACTTTGTTTTTGTAGACTAGTTTGCGAAATTAGTTTCCAAATATGTAACATTATAGATTAGAGTTCTTATGTGAATAATAATGTCGACATTTGCGATAAAGAAAAATCAAGTCAAAATCAAAGAATTTATAAATGAAAACCGATTTACTCAGCGTGTATATTTAAAAATGCTACGAGATAGCGAAATTATTTAATCCTATAATTTCCTGTGTTTATCTACTTTCCCTGATAACATAATATAATCGTAATGTCAGACATTAACTATAACATCAATCGCTATTCATTTGCGAAATATAATTAATAACGATGAATCACGCGATGTTGACGAGAGATCGATCAATTCACATAATGTATCTTCAAATGACATTCGAATTCGATTGCCAAAAGATTCGCGTTATATTACAAATACATTGTCGTTTGGTGAAAACGCTATGATTACAGCTGAATTTAAGTAAGGTCAGGGAAGATGCATTGCGAAAGGTCAAGGTCGGGCGAAGTAAAGCTACACCCAAGACTTCACGTGACCAACTATTTAAACCGGTTTGATGCCGTTTTCTTCGTTTTCTTTCGCCATTAAATTAATGAACTGATTGCTTCTCTACTTCGGCACTATACAATTTACATATACATGCGTGAAAAAAAGAAGACAGAGATATGTCGTGTCGTCGGTGACACACTAATACGGGGAAAGCGATCGGACTTGCCTTTGACCTTTCTGGTATCAGGTTTATACAGATCCCAAATAGCGAGCTATTTTTTATCTACGGATTGTATAGTTAATTAATTAGTTATATAATTTAGATTCTTTTTCAAAAAACCTCGGATGCCATCTCGATTATGTAAATTAACATTTATTAATTTTAACTATTAACTTTCAATGCATTGTGTACACTATATATTCAAATGGCACGCTATATGTCGTTCGCAAAACGCCTTGCATTTTTTCTAAAAAAAAATAAGCGGTTTAGATTGTGTAGATTATATTATATCTATTATATATAAAGTGGGTGTCGATGTATGTCTAATATTATTAACGCTATTTTTTCAAACAACATTATTTTAAATCACATTGTGTCTCAATCTTCGTTGTGGAATCATGGAATGTCATTACAAAATGTCATAAAAATTAATAAAAAGTATTTGTTTGAACCATAAGAATTCATTATAAGGAAACCATTTCCAGTAAAATATTATTTTTATAACACTCTATCTAAATTGGCTACCTATTTATGACTAATTCTCTGATGGTTTATCTAAACTGTTTATCAAAATTGTTTATTTTTAATTATTTATAATATAAAAAAATTATTCGCTTGTGATATGTCTTTCTATTTTTATATTTCCAATACAATCCCAGCGTTTGTATACCAAGTTTTTAGCGTTTTGTAGTAACTGTATTCTAGTCGAGCGCGTGTTTGAAAATGCCAGATCACATTTATAACGTTATGTCTGCTTTCATTAAACAGATTTCAAAAGGGGCGTTTCGCACTAACGTGTTTCAGATATTCAGACGAGATGACAATGTCAACAACGACGGCGAACAAAGTGAGTGAGCAAGAGACTTCTGATGCGAGTAAGCTACAGCAAAATGGTTGCAACAAGAGTGAATTGCAGCTCGAGCACATCAACGACAACAATAATGACGAGGTGAGGTAACGCTATTGCCACTTGCGACTTGTAACGCGTGCGTAGACGCGCGTCAAAATACAAAAGCTGCAAAAAATTGCATCGCGCGATTACTCGCGTCTCGCAACTATTGTCCCGACGTGATCAGTATATTGGCGTTGAGACGACGGGCGGATTACACACTATAAAGTGACAGCGCGATATCACCTTATTTGCGACGCCGTATAATAAATCCGATAGTCTTTGTCACGCTGTGGGTCATGCAGGGGCGGATACGCATTCCGTGTTGAAATTTTCATTATCAATTTGCCTTAAAATTAATGCGTGAATGCCACTTCCGTTCGTTCCCAGCTTCGTCACGAGCAACGATAAAATCTGCCTCGAGGCCGCAAATGACCATTGATATACTTTCATGTGGTATGATATACTTTCATCTTAATAAAACTTTTGGAAAACAAATTTCTCTGAATTATGCATCTATGTTTTCGATTGTGAAAAAGTGCTTGTGTCATTGAAACATTTGCAAAAATGGAAAGGTCGTCATTTTTTCAGCTGAACTGCCTCGCGTGCAGATTCATATGTCTTTTCTTCGTGTTAATGAATTCAGATCAATAGCAAAAAACTAAACGACGAGTTAATGTTGCCAAGTTCCTTTTTTTTCTTTTTTGAATTATGATCGCCATAATAACAGACGATTATAGAACGACTCGATTACGTATTCTGTACAAGTATTTTTTATTTTTTAAAAATTTAAATAAAAACAATCTTGTACAAAAAATAAATATAGGATAATTTTTTTTTTTCAAATAAATTAGACCAAAAATATAAAATATAATTTTCTCAATTAATAAAATAAAATTTTCTAAAGTGTTAACAAAGTTAGGCTACGCTAAGCGTTTCAATTTTTTCTTTAAATCATATTAAGGAAAATTCTATTTTATTGTAAAGTTACCGGAGGCAGATTTGCTGACTGCGCTAAACTATCGTTTAAGCGCATGAGGCTCGACGGATTGATAAGTTTCCAAGTTTTGGGTCACGAGACGGCCGAAATACTAAAGAGCGGATACTCGGTAGTTTTCTGAGTGGCCTTGACCTAGCACCTTGTGAATTTGCAGTAAACGTACGTTGATGTTGAAATACCAGAGGACAGTCGCAAATTAACTGGCTTCGGCTTCGTGCCGTCTCTGCAAACTAACTTCGCTATGTATCGAATCATGTTTTCTAACGAGCGAAAAAGCAGCTCTCACGCGATGATTATCACGCTTACATTGAGTAGATATACAAAATTTCTAATTCTATTATACTCTGAACGTATACTACATTAGACGTCGTCAACGCTTTACTCTTCCCAATTAGAATTTTTGCTCTGAATTTCTTAACCAACCAACCAAGATATTTAGATAAATTTAGAGTTTTTAACCAAATTTTTAATTATTATCGTTTAAATCTTATGTGTATATGATATTAATAATTTTTTTTCAATATTTATATCAAATAAAGACCTAATATGTTTGAATTAATACAGTCATTAATTTATCAAATTCATATTCGTAAGTTTCGACTAATTTTAACACTTTTAGCTTCGTAGTTGTTTAAACAGAGTCACGTTTTCTTTTCTTTCGCATATGTATATCAGAACGTACGTCAGCACAAATTTCCATATTAATTAGAAGTCACAGGTCTTTAACTTCTATTATTGCGCATGTATAAATCCGATGCTCACGATAAGTTGTTCTTGCTTGTGTATTTTGTGGAAAACTAGAACATAGCAGTTTATAACTTATCTATCGTACAATCGCCAGCGTGATCATGATATTTTCAAGTGCAATATCACATATTTTAATACTTTGTCATGCTGCTTATATATTGCAATAAATTATTTATATTATGTAATTTAGTATTTTGTATACCTTTTTCCTGACATATTTTAGTATTACAAAATAAAATCCGTCAACTGATGCAAAATGATCTAATTTTAGATTAATTTAATAAAGAACAGAGAATCGCAACAATTTGCTTCAATTTGATACAAAAATGATCAATTTTTTATAATTATGTATCCAGTGAATTTTTAGAATATGTTAGACGTGGTGAGTTTTGTTTCTTTTTTTTTAACAGACTATTGAGGTGGAAATGGTAGTACCACCTGATGGAGGATGGGGCTGGGTAATCGTTGCAGCTTCCTTCATGTGCAATCTCGTCGTCGACGGTATCATCTTTAGTTACGGTGTATTTCTGAACGATATTGCGAATGCATTCTCTGAATCAAAAGCGAGAGTTGCGCTCGTGGGCTCATTGCAGACCGGATTTTATCTCATGGTTGGTTAGTAGAGACACGTATGTAATATTTAAGCAGATTGATGTGTTAATTCTAGGATATCATCCTGGTTTCTACAAGTATCTGTCTTTAAGAATGATGCCACTTCCATATTTTTTGACAAGATTTCAATGTGTCATGTATTTGGAAAATTTGGAAATAGTAATTTTTCTCTCTGACATCTCTTTAAGATTTCAGAGAATTGTTTTAAATAAATTAAAAAGAAAAAAAAAAGAAAATAAAAGTTTCTTAAGAGGATTGATCGCTTAAGAAAGTATTATAATTTCTATTTTATGGAGTCCTGAAATTTATTTAGAAGTATCAATAAGTTTTAAATATAAGAAAAAATCAATTAATATTGAATATATTCCGTTTTGCAATGATACAACATTGCTGATGTGTTTCCTTAGCAGTAATAATTAAGCGTCTATCAAATTTGCATAACGATACGCCATATCAGAAAGATTGCATTCGATCAGTGCTTTGCTGCATAATAACAAAGTGTATGATATAATTAATAAGTAGTATAATATATTGTATCTCTAGAATCAGTTTAGAGAGAATAAGAGAGAGAGAGAGATTTCTTTTTGAACTAGAAACGTAAATCGAATACGAGAAACATACCAAACATACTATATCGTTAATTCAATGAATTCTTTCATAGGACATTTATTTTGGGTGGAATATTTTACAATCTTTAGAGTTTATTTTCCTTTGACATCGCACGAGTTATAATATTGACGTGACACGTATTATGCAAGACATCAAAAGTACATGATAAGAATAACTGTGTTTCTGTCACATGTATGTAACTGATAAGTCTGTTTGATAATGTAGTGGTAATATACACACTCATTCGGAATCTTCCTGATACATATCAAATCGACAAAATTATATATAACACTTGTATTCGCGTCTGAGTTAGCATCGCAATAAGTAACCGTTTGTATAATCAATTTCAAGGATTTTTTCAGTGCAATCCAGAAATTATAAATATACAAGAACATTTCCACTCAGCGTTCGATTTAACGTGCAACGTTACACGCGTTTAACAACATTTATGCAGCATTAATTATTTGATGTATTTTATTTCAAAATTGTAATGCATTGCGCGTAATTACCCAAACGTAGATTTAGAAGAAAATATAAACGATTTATATATCGTTATGGAAAATTATATATCGAATCCTTCATGTACAAGACATTTGTAATCAACTCAGCGATGCATGCGCGCCGCAAAGTTGTGTTTAATTATCCGCGATGATAAAGAACAATGCAAGCAACTTTCTGCAATTTATCCTTAATATTGTGGGTGTTGTATTTACTTCTATTCAGAGAGAGTTAAAAATTATTTTAAACAATTAAATTGTAGAAATACTAATAAAAATATAAGTTTTGAACTGTAAAAAATCTATGAGAGGATATTTTTTATTGTTTGTAAATATTGCATTTGTAAATTATAATTTCAATCAATACCATTTAATAAAAAAACATAATGGCAAAAATAAAATTGATTATTTGTGAATAATGTTATTTATACTACGTAACAGGAAAATATGTAATGATATAATACGATCAATAAATAGCACAAATATCTCCTAATCGCTTTAGATCTGACTTATTTCGCACTACGTAATATCTCGTTAGCATGTTAGCAATATTATATTAATAGAATCACTTGTATAAACATGATATTCTTGCAAACTGTTTGCCATTACAACGACAATGTTCGTGCTAAGTAACGTATTGTCAGCAGTCAATATACATAGCAATTAATATTTCCAGGTAAAGTCGATTAGAACCTAATCGATAATAAAGATGTAGCGAATAATTTACATGTTTGATCAGATATCTGAGAGTGAAGTCAATTATCACTTTTGCAGGTCCTTTCGTATCTGCCCTCGCCAACCGATATGGCTTCAGACTAGTGGCGATATTAGGAAGCGTGATAAGCTGTAGCGCTTTTGTCCTTTCGTACTTCAGCACTTCTATCGAATTTCTTTACATATCTTATGGCGCCATCGGTAAGTGCTTTTCCCCAGATATTTCTTATTACTAAATTAGACAATGTCTCTACACTAAAATTTCCCCTCTGTAACCTTGTAACCTCTGTAATCTTCCGATTAATTTATCTAATCCTGGATTATTTTGCTGCAGATTCGAACAGCATTGCGTATCAGTATTTAAAATTTAAAATTTAATGACACAAAAATACTGATATATCGTCTTTAAGAAATGCAGATTTTAAACTAATACATTAAAATTAACTGTAATAATACAATGTATATTAAAAATCTCAATCAAAAGATATATTGTTAAAGTAATCTTGAAATATAGTTCTCAGAAAGGTTAACTTAGATATCTTACAGTAAAAGAATAAATATCAGTTTTATATAAAATTGTTTTAGAGACACAAAGCTTTCTTTTTAGGTGGTATCGGGGCAGGGCTGATATATGTGCCAGCTGTGATAACCACCGGATTTTATTTCGAAAGATGGAGAGCTTTAGCGACAGGTATCGCAGTGTGTGGCTCGGGTATCGGGGCGTTCTTGCTTGCGCCAATTTCGGATATACTTGTAAAAAATTACGGCTGGAGAGGAGCTCTGCTGTTTCAAGCGGGTGAGTATTTTGTTAAATGGCAAATAGATGATATATTTAAAAATGCATTTTTAATTGAAACAAAATATAATTTTTGTTTCTGTAAAAAGTAATAAGGTATTTTCTGTAAATTATTTTTCATTTAAATTTTAATTAAAATATACATTTTTAAAGATTATACTTTTGTATGCTCATACAAGTATTACGTCAAGCTGTTGTCTCAATTATAATTGATTCAGAGTTTTCTCCAGCAGAAAGATTGCATATATGTATAGTTCTATTTAACCTTTTATTTCGACGAATACATGCGATCATTTATGTTGCCTAAGTCGCGTACCAAAGAACCTTGCCTGCATTACGTCACTTTTGCTTAATTAATCTTTCAATCAAAATGGTTATCGACACTTTCGTATCAATAAAAAATAGTCGTAATACCCATTCCTAATTAATAATACGGTACGTCACTTGTATTTGAGTCGATAATGAAAGCCTACATGAAAATAGAATTATAAAATATAAGAGAATGAGCGACAGAGTGAGAGAAAATGTCAAACGTTTGATTGCATGATTATTTATGCAGTATGACTGTTTTAAGCGAGTGCGGCGTGTGATTGAAATTTTAAAAAATAACGAGAATGATTGCAAGCGTGATTGGGAATTGAGAGTGTATGATAAAGAATATAAGGACGAGCGTTTCAGAGCGAGTGTACAAAGTGTGTCGAGTGTTTTGAGAAGTGAGAACAGTCAGTTTAGAGTGAGAGTGTTTTAAGAAATTAGTTCAGTGTTTTCGAGAGTGAGTTTTTGAGCATCTCGAGAGACAGAGTTTATACGAATTTGTTACACTGGCTTATAGGCATGCTCCTAAATTGCGCCATATTCGGCGCCATGTTCCGTCCTTTAAAACCAACGAGAATCAAGGTGAAGAACACCCCGGAAACCGCCGCGCTCGAAGTGAAAAGTACATTAATAGGACAAAACGTGTCAACAACGTCGTTGCACTGTGTGCAGCCGAACAGAAGCCGTTTCTTCGGCACGAATAATAATACGGAATACCCGACGGCAGCTGAACTTCTCGGCAGCAGCCCTAATATAGTAAAGTAATTGAGACTTTATTTACTAACACTAATAATTACTTCCCTCGCTTATTTATCGAAATGAGACGTGATTGATTCCTATTTCAGCGCGACCAAATCCTTACACTCGTTGCATAAAGTGTACATGGAGACTCAGATTTTGGAGAGGAAACTGAGCACTTCAGAGAAACGGCTGTCCGTGCCGATATACCCTGACTTGGACACCGTGAATAACGAAGAAAAAATAGCCGAGGAGAACAATCTGCTCAGTGGCGATTTGGAGCGGCTAAACGGAAAAGTACCGACGGTAAGATCGATGCACGTACTAAGAGAACGGAAAATTCGAGCACTGAATTGAGCTCGAACAGAATCGACCGTAACTGAGGCAGCCTTTTATCCAATTGAATCTTAGACAATAACTTTAAAAACAAAAATGTTCTACAAAAATGCATGTAAAGATATTAGTAAAACTCTTTCTGATAAAGTGTAACAAACAGAGAAAAAATTACAAAGTTTTTTGCAGCATTTTTTTTATCATCATTCGTTTAAAACACGATTGATTGATTTCGATTGAATTTATAGTTGTTATTTGGGGCGCTATCTGTCACGGTGCAAGACAAAACGATATTGTTCGACCTATCCATTAAAACAACGAAGTTTCAAATCTTGCGGTGAACTTGGCTGATGATCCAAACTTCCGGTTTCACGAGTCTTATTTTTCTTTTTCTGTTCTCAAAGTGAAGCATATATATGTGCGCGCAAAAAGAAGCAACCATGTTCGCTTTGCCAAGAGAGATAAGAATTTAGTACTTTCAAAGCTATAATTCGCGAGAGAAAGAGAGAGAGAGAGAGACAGAAACGTCAATTCTATGACCTGGAAAATTCTCCAAATGTCCTCGTGAATTATTTATCTCTGTAAACACCTCTATTTTTATCAAATTTATAAAAGAATCCAATAAGTATAATATTAATGCAATAAAATAAAATTGCTACTTGAAATAATGTTGGAATAACATTTTATTTTATCATTTAGATCCGTCGACATACGATTAGTCGTCTTCGAACGGATTCGGAGTGCAGCCAGAAGTCTCTTAAAATGGGAAAACGAAATCCGAAAGATCCACAGAGACCATTCTACAGAGACGACATCTTTTACGGTGGCTCTTTGAATAGACTTCCACATTACAGGTCGCAGGTAAAAATCCTATCAAGTATATAATATATTTATCTCCTACATCGATAAATTGCGCATTAAAATTTTTATAAATATTGAGCAAAAAATAAAGAATATTGACAGTTTAAAGGCTTAACTGGTCTATTTTCAGTTCAGACGAAAACGCAACAAGTTAAACTAATCGTGAGATAAAATTAAAGTAACGTTTAAATGAAATCGTCACCTAGATAAGCTGTCCTACTTGCAATAGAATATCAAAAACCTACGATTTTGCAGCAATCGTCAGTCGGTTATCACATGTCAGTGACACGATTGCCAACGGCGACGGATGTGGCAGAGGAGGAAAGCGGAACGTGCTACCTGTGTCCTGAAAGTGTGCGTCGAATTCTAACCACAATGCTTGATCTCAGTCTGCTAAGAAGTCCGTCCTTCCTGATACTAGCTATCTCTGGTGGGCTCACTATGATGGGCTTTTACACGCCCTTTATGTACGTGGCAGGTACGATACATTGAATAATAATATATTTTTAATATCTGTCCCATATTTAAATAATATTTGTCTCATCGCAGCTTTCCTCGTCACGTTTAACAGATAATTCATTTTTCAAGAGAACTTTTAAAACGATATACATAAAACGATATACATTGTTTATTACTTTCTTTTCGATAACATAATAACCAACACATTGTGAGCATATCACGAGAATTCTCATTTCACTGTTATCATTTGGAACGGAAGAATTGATTAAAGTTATTAATAATTATCTAAAATAAAATCGAATAATAAATAAATGATACACAAACTGAATTAAACAATAAGTAGATAATTTTTACTGTGTGTAAATTTAGCAAAGATAAAAAGTTAAAATTGTTGTTGTTGAATTCTAGACGCTACTTTATATATTATTCATATATTTATCTACCTTTACATATTATTCATATATTTATCTGCCTTTATATATTATTCATATATTTATCTGCTTTCTCTGTAGATCGAGCCATAAAGGCTGACATCAACGAGTCCACGGCAATGTTCCTTGTTTCGGTGATCGGTATCGGCAATACCATCGGTCGTATCGTTTGCGGCTTAGCAAGTAGCTTGCCTGGTGTTAATGCCCTGGTTGTGAACAATATATTTATCAGCGTCGGCGGTTTAGTCACCATATTCTCCGGCCTTTCTTTGTCGAAGGGTTATCAATTCTTTTATGCAGCCAGCTTTGGCCTCAGTATATGTAAGTAATTTATGCCACTTGTTAAACGGTTTTTTATAAATCTTGTAGACACATCTTATCTCGTCTCATTTATGATGCAATGTTTTGATTTTAATTGTCCTAATTGATTAGTTTCACTTATGTTTATTAGGTGTGTAAAATATATATCAGATATTTTTCCGCAGCCGTCTTCGCTTCTCTAAGATCGATTCTCGTCGTGGATTTACTGGGCTTAGAAAAACTGACAAACGCTTTCGGACTGCTTCTTCTGTTTCAAGGTGTGGCAGCAACTGTGGGCGCACCTCTTGCAGGTAATTAGAATGATATCGATCACTCTCTGTATATTCGCAAACAAATGCCGCAAAAAGTCCACTTTAGTCGTGAAGTAGCACTGATTTGCATTCCGCAAATCTATTTTAGTTCAAAGTAACACGTATCTGATTCTAGGAAGTGTTTATATCGTGTTCTTTAGCATGATTCGTTATTACTTATTTCTCCATCTCATAAATCTTCGTTTGATAACGATCTATGAACCATAAAAAGTTCGACGTTAATTTACAAAATAATATTCATGACAAACAGGTGCGTTTATGGATGCGACTGGAAGCTACGAAGCCTCGTTCTACCTCTCTGGTAGTTTGATTCTCATATCGGCTGTGATCTGTTACCCACTGAAGAGGATCAACATGTGGGAGAAACGTGGCGAGCAGAATCCGATTTCGGCGGATTTCTCCGCGTCTTGATTAAAGGCGCAAAACTGTGCCGCAATCGTGTATCATACTACGTGCACTCGTTCGTTTATTCACGCAATCAGACGCTATGCGTTGTACATATGAATGCCTAATAATTTATAGCGAGCGCTCAAGTCGAGAATATAATTATATCGCACGCGCTCACTACGTGAGTTAAATAAAAAACGACCGATCTGATATTTGCAATCGATAAACGATCGATCGTGTTCGTATGTGCTCAAGAACAATTTTAAAAGCACAATCTGATCGCGAAAAAAGTGTCTTCCGCATACTTGTGATTTACTCGTCGAAGCTTTGATCGCTTCTTTTGAGAATAAGATTTTATGTCGCAAAGCGACTTGAGAATTTTATTCATGATCTTACGATCTTAGATCCATTATCATCTTACAATTATATATAAAATGAAACAAGATCACATGATAGAGATCATTTCGTGAAATAGAATCCAACTTTCATTACGCTTATCCACATCTTTCATTAATGCCAGCAGGCGTGAGACAAACTATTTTTTATGCCTCATGTTTGAGATGCTAAACTTGGTAATTGAATTTGTACTTTAAATCCAAAATTTGAATCGTGATACGCGAGAAACTTCCGGAAAGTTTTCAATTAAGATAAATTGTTAATTCGTTGGTTCGGTATTTAGGTTTTAAACAATGATGTGAAATTATTAAGATAATTGCGACATAGCAACATTTACTGCTAATAATTTACTACTAATAAAAATAATAGAATTGTTACTAAAATGTAACAGTAAAAATAATATTTGTTCTTATTAGCCGTTGTATAATTTGTGACCATATATACAAATTGTTATATATTTATTTAATAAAATTAAATAACATTATTATGCTTAAGAGCAATTATTATCTAAAATTATTAATAGAAAAATATAGTAATAAATAAAATGAAATTATTACGGCGATAATGATTTATTTAATAGCCATCGTAAAGATGATATTATTGATTCTATCATTGTTAATTATTGTGATATCACAATAAGTTTCATTAATTTTAAATAAAGCATTAAACGTGAGGCACGAACAGCAAAAGACTGTCTTGATCGAGCATTTTCCTAATAACAAAGAGATTGCGGAGCAAATATGGTCATGTAAATAGATCGGACTTGTTACAAACCACGTCTGCCTAGCTAATCCTCTACTTTATGCAAATTTAATTTAAAAAATTATATAATTATGTACTAATTATGCGCTCGCCAAATCTATAAAGAAAAAATTTTGCACTTTTTTAGTTTAGCAAAAAAAATTTTTTTTTTTGTGGGGGAACTGAGTGGACAGCCAGTGAGCCCCTCCCCACCCATTAATAACAAATAATGTCGAGAAACAAATACGCAGAATTTATGCGCTAATTATGCGCTATTACCAAGCGAAAGGGGAGATTCTCATATAACTCGTAAAAAATTGCAAAACTGGAAAAATTAACTATACGATAAATCTTCGATTTATGCGCTATTATATCGAGATGATTCTAAGATTTATCGTACTTGATTAATTTTACCAGTTTCGCAATTTTTAACGAGTTATAGAACAATCTCTTCTTTTGCTTCAAGAGGGAAGCCTCTTTAAGGGTTGCAGCGCAAAAATCAAAATCATCTGTATATAATAGCGCATAATTAGCGCATAAATCCTGCGTATTTGTTTTTCGACATTACTGGCTGTCCACTCAGCCCTCCCACAAAAAAATTTTTTTTGCTAATATAATTAGTGCATAATTATATAATTTTTTATTAAATTTGCACAAAATGGAGAAGCTAGCTAGGCAGGCATTTACAAATCAATTATCATTATATGTGTTATGCTGAAACTCTAAACTGCCACATAAACACTACACACAGTTTAGTCTTCTATAAGATTATTACATATAAGCATTTGTATTATTCACCCATGTACATTTTATCAGTAAGAGTTACAAGAATAGAATGTATATATCATTGTTATATTTTTAAAACAATTAACTGCATAGCGCCATATGTATCGAGAGACATTTATACTTTTACTTACACGAACATATACATAATTCCATAGAGAGTACACTTGCTCCAACACATGATATTAATAATTTAATTAATTCTATCATTCCACCTATTTTTAAAACTGATTAAAATCTTTCGCAGTAAAGTGTGCAAATAAAAGAATCCAGTGATCGGAATCAGTTGTTCATAAATATTTTTTCAAAGTTCGATAATTTGTTTCGCAATGACATAAAATGCTCAAAATTTTTATTGTATAAAAATATAAAATATTGAAATTTTTATTAAATAGTTTCATAAACGTTTTTATGTTCTTTACGATTGTATAATGTAAAATTATAGGAAATTTACTCAATTTTAAAGTCAGCCAAGTCAAATATCCATAGAACAGATGAAGTTATAGCGTTCTATCTATTACATTTAAACAAATTTGCTCAAAACTTAAATTTGTTCCTAGTGTTCCTAATTACTAATAAATGTACTATATATACATATGTAATATATATGTTACATAGTATTTTTATAAATTCGTGCGCACATATCTTTAGAGATAGATTGCGTAGAATAATTCAATTAACGCCGAGGAAAAAATTCTCTATCGGCAAATATATGTATAAATTATATTAAAAAAATTTACAGATTAAGATAAATTTAAAAAAAAATTAATTTATCATTAAAATCACAACAACCTTGTACCTATTTTTATCCTATTCTATACTTAATTGTACGTATGTATCAAAATTGGTTGACACTGTATCTTCATAAAATTTGGAAAAATATGCTTTTGTAAGAAAAATATATTTTATAAAATTTTTTTAAACTTGTTTCCTAAAATTTAAAAGTCGATTTTTCTTGAATATAAATATCAAGAAAGATTATTTTACTTAATTTTAAAACATTTTGCATAAATTCACATTTAAGCAATGTAAAACAAGTGCAAAACGAGTTTAGCGATGGTCAGTATTCTACGTGCTTAGTGGCAGACTATGTGTCAAAGCCACAAAGCTTCGTCTTTTGGGAGGATGTGAATCATGTCAACGCACGAAATCGTGAATTATCGCGTCGACATAGCCACACACTATTCTCGTTTGTAATGCGACATTCTGCGAGAACAAACATATTTACTGCGAGTAAAATGATGCATCGCACTGTGCACTACATATATCGCGGAAGATGATACAGCGAAAATGCAAACAATGTTTTTCTCCGGCAAGACGCATGCAAAGTGCACTGACACGCCACATTATTTATCGTAAAAGTCAATGTTTCTTGAAGACAACTTGTTGTCGCGAAAGACAATGCATAAAAATATTAAAAAATTTGCTGATGTCAAAGAGAAAGGCAATGCCCGATAAAGATGAGGATAGGCAGAAACATACAGTTGTTGCTTCCGCTTATTTCTACTAAATGTTATTTCATATATAAACAATTTTATCTTTGCGTTTGTATTAAAATATTTTTAATACAATAAAAATACATAGGTAATATAAATGCATAGGTAGAACTTTTAAAGCGCTGTGATTTATTTATTCATATATATGTTTTCGACCGTAAATCTTTATACTATAAGCAATACTTTTTTACGATTCAAGTATGTAAAAATTTCAAGTAGACTCTATAAACTAAAGTACGAAATATACCGCGAAGGCACGAGATGTTCAAAGTAAGAGCATAAATTATTTCTTTCATTAAGAGCGGCTCACACTTCCCACGATGTGCGTATTCTCAGAGTCGTTTTCGACCGCGTGTTCTCCGTGAAATTGCGGCAATATTTCACAACAAGAGTTCTCTTGCTGTTCAATCTAAACACACTGCGCAAAAAAAAATTTGGAAGATGACACGAAGATTCGTATAAAGAATATACTTCTTGCGGGTAATATTAGTAACACGTGTCTGAAATTAGTCCAATTTGCTATGGCTCATTTTTTGAATTGTATATTTATTTATTTTTTTAATTATGTTTATCACTCAAATTTTGTTAAGATCTCTCTGCTTGTTTTTCTTAGTTTCCACGAATAAAAAATGTAATAAAATCGCTGGCACAAATCTACGTTATTTCCTGTTTACGTATATCATTTCATCGCCCGCATCATTTTCTGTCTATATATGTCCCTCGCTTTCCGCAATAACAAATTATAAAATAAAAAGTACTTGGCATCGCTTCAAATCAGATTGTAGTGAAATCGTATTTCTTTCTCTGATGTTTAACATATCAAATATGCAAAATATATAAACTTTTTCAGCCATAATTCTGAACAGAAAACGCTTTACTATATATTTCGAATATTTCAATCTTAAAAATAGCGTATCTTTAAACAGCATAAATCGATATAAACTATTACTGCGGTATCGTGACACAACCGTACATATATTTCGTGCAATATCAACTTTCGCTTGTATCTAGCTTGAGAACCCAAGGCCATCGCCCTTAAAACGATAAAATTTACTTTCAAATTCATTAAAAAAAAAAAATAATAAAATATAAATATAATTATTAATTATAGAAAAAAAATACATTTGGCAGCTTGCATCGCGTTTAATTATTAACGTGAAAATAAATACGACACCTTATATTCGGAATTCAGCCATTAATTAATTGTACTCTCTTATTAAAGAATATTCGGAAAAAGGCCAAAAAATATTGAGGACAAAAATAATACGGCATCGTGACGAAAAAAGCTGGAGACACGTACGGAATCGTTTGGTGCCGGTTCGAAGCCAGCGGACTTTCTGCTTCCGACTGCGGATACATTGCGACATAGAAGCGGGGGTAGTTGGTGTACGGGCTCTCTCGCGGCTGCGGAGACGAGGACAGCAAACTAGTCGGCGGGGTGGAGAGTGGGTATTCGCTGGGAGCTCGGAAAGGGGCACGATGCGCGCCGCGACGCACCGCTGCGGCAGGGCTAGAGTGAGACAGCCCGATTTTCCGCCCCGCAACCGCAGCATCCCCCATCACTCGTTCCTTAATCCTCTCACTCTCTCCTTCTCCCACTACTTCCGGTTAACTACTCACTCTCTTCTTTCGTCTCAGCTTTTTGTCCCTCTTCTCGTGTTCCTCCCTCGTACCCCCTTTCACCATTTACATCCGTTTTCGTTACTTTCGCACCTACTGCCTCTCTTCGTCCCGCGCGCACTCACCCTCACTCTCACCCTCCCACTTCCTGACGTTTTCACCTCACTCGGTCCAGTATAACGTTGGAGCGTGCACGGAGTGGTTCGCCGCGCAACTACCCGCTCAGACACGCACGTTGATTACGCGTACACGTTGATCATCGGTGCCGATCGCGGTTTATGCCCGACGATACGTGCGGAGACGTTTTCGCGGCGCGCTGGTAGAAAGGTCGATGCAGGAGCCGTGCTGGCCCGAAACGGAACCGCCGAATCGAACGGCCGAATCCACGTGGTACACTTATAGATTAAACGCCAGCAAGAGAAGAGCACTCTCACAACGATACGAAAATTTAACGTCTCCAGAATCTCACGCAAGCTTTCTTGAAATTAATTTTACTTTGTAAAAGATTTTTTTTTTAAAGAACTCGAGAATATTTTTAAAAGCCTGATAAAAATTTCTCTTTAAGACATGAAAGTTTGCTTGTAATTAATCCTTTCTCTCAGTTACTTTTTTGGAAACTTGAGAAGAAAGAACTTAGCAAAAAATTCTTCGTGCAGAATATAAAAGCTTCTTTCAAATTAATCTTATCTTTTGAAATGTCAATTCTTCCTTACAGAATATAAAGATATTTAAAAAAATGTCAGAAACAACGAAGCGATGAGCGGGATGGTTCACAAAAGAAAAAAAATGCATAAATTATTTCAATTAGACAAGCAAAACGAAAAAATAAAATCGTAA